ATATCTGATGAAGTTCACTTAACAAAATGTGTTCTTTCACAACAACCTGCAATGTCATCATACAGATGAAACTCAAGTCGCACATATTAGACGAGTTTAAAGGGTTAGTTCACCCAAAAATGGAAATTCTGTCATTAATTACTCACCCTCGTGTCGTTCCAAACATGCAAGGCTTTCGTTCATCTTCAGAACACAAATGAAGATCTTTTTGGGAAAATCTGAGAGTTTTCTTCTGTCCCTTTATTTCCCAGTCTTTATTTCCCAGTCTACACAACTACCACTTTGACACATCAACAAGTTTGTAAAGAGATCGTAAAACTAATCCATATGAGTTGAGTGGTTTAGTCCAAATTTTCTGAAGAGACTCGATCACTTTGAATGATGAACAGTTTGAATTTAGGCTTTTATTCACACATAAACATTCATCAGTTCACATAAATGTAATCTGTTCGTCATTGTAAAGCAGTAGAGTCTCTTCAGACAATTTGGAATTCGTTTTACCATCTCTTTTTGAACATTTTGAAGCATCAAAGTGTCCGTTGCGTAGCTGTCAATGCAGGGACAGAAGAAAACTCTCAGATTTCATCAAAAAGATCTTCATTTGTGTTTCGAAGATGAACGAAGGTCTTACAGGTTTGGAACGACATGAGGGTGAGTAATTAATGACAGAATTTTAATTTTTGGGTGAACTAACCCTTTAAAGTTTGTTGCCATAATATATCATTATTATTATTTATTTATTTTATTCTTTAACATAATAAAACAATAGAAGAGAACAGCAACCACAGATCACAAGCACATTCCAACATAAACCAGATACATGCATCGTCAAAAGACAACAAAAAAATAGGTTCATGTTGACCTGCCAAGCTTTTGCAAAAAAGATACGTGAAATCCTGAGACCTAAGTACTTAAAAAAGGGGTCCATATCTGATAAAAACATATCAATTTTCCCTTTTGACCAGTTAGTATATTCCAGTAAGAGAAAATCAAATATGACTTTATGCCACTCTGACACTGTTGGCAGTTTATCAGAGATCCATTTAAGGAAAATACTCTTACGGGCAGCATAAGTAAGGAGATTAAACAATTTCCTGTTTGAAGCACTCTATATTATTATCAGCAGCTCCTAACAAAAAATAAAGTAGATTGGGGTGTGTTGGAATCTCCCTTAAGATTCCCAAATACCCTATTAAGTCACCTCGTGAAACACATATGGTCTAATGAAACCCACCCCTCAACTGAGCCTGTCAGATAAGAGACGTACAGAGCAGGGAGGCTGAGGACTGGGATTGGGAACCCCTGCTCCTGAAGATCTCCATTAACTGGTTCAGGTGTGGCTGGAGCTCAACTTTGCAGGATGAGCTGGATTAGGAGTTTGTATTAAATGTGATAGGTCCTGCAAAACAACATCAAATTACACCCTTTTCAATTTGATGACTTCACTGCACTCAATAACAATAGCATGACTACAATGAGTTTGCAAATGAATTACTTGTATAAGCCTATTTTTAATGAAACAGTCTTAGTGAATTTTATGAGCCTGTTCTAATGAATCCGAAAAAAGGCTAATTCTTTGTATCAATTTGAATAAATGTCTCTTATGAGCCATTCTTTTTAATGAATCAGTCATTTAATGAATCTGTATTTTAATGAATGAGTCAAAGGGCTCATTCTTTTAGTCTTAATAAATGACACTGTCTGTTTGTCAGAACGGATCGAACTTTTAAGTGCAGTTGGGATAAATGATAGATTCTGTGGGAAACACTGATGTATAATCATGTCTATTTTATGTATTTGATGCACGCTGACGGTTGTGCTCTCCTTTTTCATCATCAGGCTCATCACTTGCGCTGTCTGAATGATTTTGTGGACGCTCAGGCTGCATATTATGCCCAGTGTTACCAGTACATGGTCAATCTGCAGAAACAGCTGGGAAGGTTGGCTCACTTTTGTATCTATATGTATTTGTTTGTAATATATATATATATATATATATACACTCACCTAAAGGATTATTAGGAACACCTGTTCAATTTCTCATTAATGCAATTATCTAATCAACCAATCACATGGCAGTTACTTCAATGCATTTAGGGGTGTGGTCCTGGTCAAGACAATCTCCTGAACTCCAAACTGAATGTCCAAACTAAGCAATTTTGAGCGTGGCATGGTTGTTGGTGCCAGACGGGCCGGTCTTAGTATTTCACAATCTACTCAGTTACTGGGATTTTCACGCACAACCATTTCTAGGGTTTACAAAGAATAGTGTGAAAAGGGAAAAACATCCAGTATGCGGCAGTCCTGTGGGCGAAAATGCCTGGTTGATGCTAGAGGTCAGAGGAGAATGGGCCGACTGATTCAAGCTGATAGAAGAGCAACTTTGACTGAAATAACCACTCGTTACAACCGAGGTATGCAGCAAAGCATTTGTGAAGCCACAACACGCACAACCTTGAGGCGGATGGGCTACAACAGCAGAAGACCCCACTGGGTACCACTCATCTCCACTACAAATAGGAAAAAGAGGCTACAATTTGCAAGAGCTCACCAAAATTAGACAGTTGAAGACAAAAATGTTGCCTGGTCTGATGAGTCTCGATTTCTGTTGAGACATTCAGATGTTAGAGTCAGAATTTGGCGTAAACAGAATGAGAACATGGATCCATCATGCCTTGTTACCACTGTGCAGGCTGGTGGTGGTTGTGTAATGGTGTGGGGGATGTTTTCTTGGCACATTTTAGGCCCCTTAGTGCCAATTGGGAATCGTTTAAATGCCACGGCCTACCTGAGCATTGTTTCTGACCATGTCCATCCCTTTATGGCCACCATGTACCCATCCTCTGATGGCTACTTCCAGCAGGATAATGCATCATGTCACAAAGCTCGAATCATTTCAAATTGGTTTCTTGAACATGACAATGAGTTCACTGTACTAAAATGGCCCCCACAGTCACCAGATCTCAACCCAATAGAGCATCTTTGGGATGTGGTGGAACGGGAGCTTCGTGCCCTGGATGTGCATCCCACAAATCTCCATCAACTGCAAGATGCTATCCTATCAATATGGGCCAACATTTCTAAAGAATGCTTTCAGCACCTTGTTGAATCAATGCCACGTAGAATTAAGGCAGTTCTGAAGGCGAAAGGGGGTCAAACGCAGTATTAGTATGGTGTTCCTAATAATCCTTTAGGTGAGTGTATATTCTTTTACACCAGTTCCTCTGTTTCTGCTAAACAGTCAAATTGCGATGTATGGAATATATGTAGCTACATTGTTATTTCTATATTTAAAGCAGTAGTAACATGCTCCCTTATTTCCTCCAGCTTTCCATCCACGTTCTCTAATAACAATCAGCCGGCTGGCAGCTCCTCCGCCAGCGTCTCGGTTCTCTCGGCGCCGTCGGCCGCCTCCCTGCCCGCTCCGCCACCCAGCCAGACCTCACCCGCGCTCAACGAGCTCCGCAGCACCTCGGGCACCCGTAAGGCCCGCGTGCTCTACGACTACGACGCTGCCAGCAGCAGTGAGCTCTCTCTACTCGCTGATGAGGTGCGTCTTCATCAACGTACTCCGATTTAGGCATTACATGGATCATTAGGAGTCTTAACCTGTATTTGTGTGCTCATTTCTCCCTGTCAGGTGATCACCGTGAGCAGTGTTCCAGGCATGGACTCTGATTGGCTGATGGGGCAAAGGGGCAATCAGAAAGGCAAAGTGCCAATTACTTACTTGGAGCTGCTCAATTAAGATCACATTTTAGATGTGGGTTCGACAAGAGTAACACTCCAGATGTGATCTGAGAGAGATCAGAATTTACTGTAGCGCAAAGCAATATAAAAGTCTTCTACACTGCCATTTCCTGTTGTGTGAACGCCTCCTCTGCCATTGGAGGGGCGGCGTAAGTAGCCTTACAGTAACGAACAGCAGTCCGAGGTTGCAAACTATTAATCGGATTTATGTGCCAACTGATTTTTTTTTTTACTGCTAAACTAATTGATTTTGCTATAATGTGCTATGGTGCTCGAATAAATATTATATAAACTATATATAACAGTGTTGCTGTTTCGTGTGATCTTTCATTTTTCTTTAAAAAATATTTGGTAACACTTTATTTTACATGTTACATGTACTTACTGTAGTAATAACAGTATATTATGCTTAATTATGCAACTAACCTTGAACCTAACCTTAATCCTTACCATATAGTAAGTATGTGTTAGGAATTATTAAGTATTTGAATGTATAATTCGACTGCAACAAGGACACCTTAAAATAAAGCGTAAACTAATATTTGTATATGTCTTATTGCTTGATATAATTATGTCTTGTTTCAAGGTCAGACAAAGCTGAACACTCTGGATGCTAATTTTGAAAAACCATAGTAACAGTGAATTGATATGTTAGCATGAATCTTGACCACTGGGTGGCAGTATTTTCATTTTGTAAAGATTAAAACGTAAACACTGCAGCAAGTGTCTACTAAGACATATCTTATTAATAGTGAAGAGTGCAATTTCACTGTAGTGCCACCAAACAGAACTGCAACAATATTGACAGTGTGTGGAAACAATTCTTTTGGGAAAAGCGGTGTTATTAACTAACAATAAAACTATTAAAATTGAAAGATTAAATCAAATGTAAAAAATATTATATTAAAAACTTAAATGAAAATGAGAAATGTTGCCTTGTCAACTAACTAAAATCAATAAAATATTAAAATTACTAAGACAAAAAAAAAAAAAAAAAGCTAAATAGAAATATAAACAATCAAACTAATAAAAATGACAAAAGCACAAATAAAAACCTACAAATTAAATCTGGAAATGTAAAATAAAAACCTCATTTAAAATATTAATAAATAGTACAAAAACAACAGTGGCTGGGCTGTTCTTCTGGAAAATCATTGTGCAAAGATAATAGTAGTCATTGCACATTAAGCTGGAATAGAAAGCATTTCAACATCAACAATAATAAAAATCAGTTTTACGTTAACCAAATGTCAGATTCATAACACTTACAAATGCTTTTTATTAACATACTTGGTTTTGTGGTCAAAGATAATCATATACATATTTGACAACTGTCAGAGATATTCTTTCCATTATCTATCAGAATGACAGAATATTGAGAATTTTATTTGGGTCGAAAATGTCGAGTTTCACAGCAAATTCATGCAACCCCCCATCACAACATCCGGGTCACGTCTGGAATGGCACTTCAGAGAGAAGTTCGTTACAGAGGAGTCATTATTTAGGCAGCAGACTTAAATTGAGCACGTACATGAAACACTCATCTGAAACGGTGAGTACCGATGGGACGTCGTCAAAAGCTTCATGAGGAGAAAGTTCGGAGAAGTTGATAGTTGCATACACAGACTGGCATGATATCGACGGACTTCGGGTGACAGCCTTGAGGAAGTTAATACAGTAATAAATCTCGACACTGTCTACTTTCATCTTGTGCGGAACCCTTTGAAACTTTATCATGGGTTACACAAAAAAGTATCAAATTACATACAAAAGCTAGTAGTTGGGCACTGTGGATAGCTGGCATACATTGAAAACTTGAAAATAAATTAACCGACATATAAAGAAGTCCTCTCTTCAAGCGGGGCTCTTTTGATGAAGCGTGTCCGTACGATAACTTGCAGCAGTAGTCGTGTTAGTCGGGAAGTGGAGCGGTTGAGCAGTAGTAGCCGGACAACGTAGCAGGAACGCCCCTCCCGTGATGTTCGACAACGTCTGGGAGTGATGCTGTGATTGTAACAAACCCATAAAGTGCTTTCGCAATTGGACAATAAAAATAAACATGTTACACTGGGATAAAAACACAAGTTCAGGCACAACCGCGAATGTCCCTCATTTTTTGAACGGTGTCAAGCGTCCGATGTTGTGCCAGAAATTGGAGGTCTTGCGTTTGGGTTCGGCCAACATGATGACCTGCTGCTGGGGCAGGGAGGTGGGAAGCGTGGGGTGCTTCTGACGCAGCAGGAAGTCATAGTAGGGCCTGGTCACAGCTGTGGGGAGGAGGACATAAACACGGGGTCAGGACACCTGAGAGTTCAGTCGCTCATTAGAGAACAGGACACAGCCCAGACAGCAACATAGTGTCTGCCCAGATCCGGCCCACATCTGATTCCAGTGGATTCCAGATGTGGGCCGACACTATGTTGCTGTCTGGGACATGTAGACATGTTGGTTTAGTAGACGAGCGTGTTTCGGTCGGCTGGTACTGATATTATTAAATGTTATGCTGTAATGGTTTTAGTGTGTGCTTATTAGGGAAGGATGGGTTGCCAGTGAATTATGTAAACTAGAACAGTTACAGTAAATAAAGGGCTGGGTATCGATACAGATTTCCTGATTCATTTGAACTATGATGTTGATTCGGTTTGATCTTTTATATGAAAGCGATTCTCTCTCAGCTAATGCTGTACATTTTGTACATTACAAAAATAATAATATCAACATGGCCTAAACTGTGCAGTTCAATTGCCAATTATTGTAAAAAATCTATATATAAACTGCTCTGTGAAAACTTTAAAATGGATTTATGTAAAACGGTTATTTATTTTATGATTGTTTGTGAATCAGACATGCTTTTTTGCTCAGCATGTTTTTTGATTCACTAAAAAAATAAATCGGTTTAAAAGAATCATTCGTTTGTGAATTGGACTATACTGGTTGTGCTCTATGTGTTTGATTCACCAAAAAGAACCGGTTGTTCCCTGGTTGTGCTATTTGTTATTGATTCACTAAAATGAACTGGGTTTAAAGAGTCATTTGTCTCTGAACTGGACTACACTGGTTGTGCTCTATGTTTTTGATTCACCAAAAAGAACCGGTTGTTCCCTGGTTGTGCTATTTGTTATTGATTCACTAAAATGAACTGGGTTTAAAGAGTCATTTGTCTCTGAACTGGACTACACTGGTTGTGCTCTATGTTTTTGATTCACCAAAAAGAACCGGTTGTTCCCTGGTTGTGCTGTTTGTTATTGATTCACTAAAATGAACTGGGTTTAAAGAGTCATTTGTATCTGAACTGGACTACACTGGTTGTGCTCTATGTTTTTGATTCACCAAAAAGAACCGGTTGTTCCCTGGTTGTGCTATTTGTTATTGATTCACTAAAATGAACTGGGTTTAAAGAGTCATTTGTATCTGAACTGGACTACACTGGTTGTGCTCTATGTGTTTGATTCACCAAAAAGAACCGGTTGTTCCCTGGTTGTGCTATTTGTTATTGATTCACTAAAATGAACTGGGTTTAAAGAGTCATTTGTATCTGAACTGAACTACACTGGTTGTGCTCTATGTTTTTGATTCACCAAAAAGAACCGGTTGTTCCCTGGTTGTGCTGTTTGTTATTGGTTCACTAAAATGAACTGGGTTTAAAGAGTCATTTGTATCTGAACTGGACTACACTGGTTGTGCTCTATGTTTTTAATTCAGTAAAAAGAACTGGGCATTGACTACACCAGTTGTGCTGCATGTTACTGCAACAACTCGATAAAGAGAAATAAAGAATAAAGAATCAATATCGATATCATTCAAATGAAGAAAAATTAGTATTTTTACCCAGCCTCAGTTAAATAAGCGAATAAGTCACACTAACACACTCTGGAATTACCCTGGACTACTCGATCGGCTCTCTACTTTGAGAGGACACCCAGGATATTGCCCTGCGCAGGACCCCAGGAGGCACCCTAACCCCCCGCCCCTGCCTACGCTGAGGGCCTTCAGGGAGGAGAGGTGAAGTTAAGGTGGCCCTGGGAGCCAGAGGTCCTGAAGGTTCGGAAAAACGTAGGCACTTGGAAGTTTTTGGGTGAAGAAGTGATGGAGATCTGAGTGCCACAAGGTGCTGTAAAGCTAATGCTGTTCCAGGGCAGTGCGGTAATGTTGAAACAACACACAAACATAATCAAACACGTGCTTGTGAACAGATGAACAGTGACCACACATGGCACAACTCATTCACTACATGATAAACCGAAATGATTTCACACTGTATCCTGAAAAAAGGGCTCTCTAGCATACAATCATACATAATAGAACAGCTGAAATTCACCTTTGGGCTTCCCTGTTGGATGACTTTTAGACGCATTCAACATGGCCTGCTTCTTCTGGACCTCTGTGATCGTAAAACCTGTTTGGAGGACAAAGAAAAACATTGATAAACTTATAGATTATCATTCTTAATCAACTGTGGAGAACTGACACGTTCGTCATTAACGAATATATAATGCTGAACAGATCAGCAAATATAAATACAAACGGTAAAAATATTTCTGTCATGACAACTCTCAAGAGTGTTTGGCCCGTAGCTGATCTATACAGGTGGAGCTGGGGAAGGTGGAGGGTTTCTGAAGCGCACTGCACTAAGGCAAATGCTGACCAAGTATTTGAAGGTTGAGCACGTGAGCTCATTAGATACTGATACGCAGGAACCAATCAGCTGTGCCCTATAGATAACGATGTAATTACGAGCAGACTGAGTTAAGTGACCTATTAGCCTGCGCCATCTAGAGTTTCATGACAGAACTTTGTATATGATCAAATGGCATTGCTAACTGTTTGAATGTACATTAGTGATAGTTTGGTTAATATCGCAAACTGAGAGGAAGCACTAAAATTACAAACTGGAATAAATAAAAAACAAAAATAAATGTGAATTAAACTTTAACAGATTTATTAAAAATAAAAAGCATATATAACCTTTTTTGCTAAAATTTCAATTAAAACGATACCTGAAAAATAAAATCTAATTCAAAATATGAACCAAACCTGCAATAGTATATAAATAATATTAATGAAAAACATGACACTGGTTGCTATTGCTAGGTGGTTGCTTAACTGGCCATGTTATGTCATAAACATTTTTGTTTATGGAGAACAAATGATGCATTATGAGAAAAATCTAAAAAATAATCCATTAAAGACAATAAAATCAATGCTTTTCGTTCTGCTTCTGAGAGCCTGACTGAAGAAGTGCTGTTCACCTGTTTCGAGGTCGTGCTGGACCTGTTCCCGTTCATCTGCAAAGGCTCGCAGCCAGCGCTGCTTCTGCTCGGGTTTCTTGGCACACAGGAGGTGGACCTCCTCTCCTCCGGGAGAACACAATTTCAAGGCATTCTTCACACTCACGTTAAAGTCCTTCTCCTTCCCATCCTCTACATCCACCACTTGCATCTGATCCATGTCTAACCGACCCTTGTAGTACAGGATGTCCCTCCGAAGCAGATCCTGGGGTGCCAATCAAGACATGAACAACTTTAATACTGCCGAGAGCCACTCACATAAAAACCATCTGCCATAAATAACAGTGATTCTGCTCTCACTGGCCAGGCGAGTGACTGACCTTTTTACAGAAAACCAATTGGTGGTCGAAGAGGAAGAACATTCGCTGCTGGCCTTTGGCCTGTGGCTGGGAGATCTTAGTCAGGTCTCCTGAGAAAATCAGATCAGAGCTCCTGCTCAAGATGTCTTCACCCTAATGAAGGGGGAAAGAGCCTGTGAGACCACAAACATACCGGGAGTGAATAAGTGTGTGAACTCTACACCCATGATGCTCCTGTGATTTACCTCCCAGTCCTCTATAGAGCTCTGCCACTGGGCGATTTTGTCAATATTCTCCAGACGCCTCTTCCTCTCATTGATCAGTCTGGCCACATTCTTCATTGCGTTTAAGGCAGCTTCCACATCCTTATAATCTCTGAAAAGCAGAATATTTGAGATTTTGTATAGCTGTAAAATGTCAATAAGCAAAATGTGAACCAAATCGTTCAAAAAACTGGTTCAGCAATTTGTTTTTGTCCATTAGTGATCATGAACTTGTAAGTATGTCATTTTAAATGGGTACTTATATATATTAACAAAAATAATGCGCCTTTGTTTATTTGTGAATAATAATCATACAGTGAATATTTTTCATACAGTGAAATATATGCCTCGATTATTTATAACATTTTTGCTGTGTGTGTTTGTGTGTGATTTGAAAGAAGTTTCTTATGCTCCTTAAGGCTGCATTTATTTGATAAAAAATAAATTATTACAATTATTACAATCGTGATTAATAGATAGTTCAAAAGAACAGCATTTATTTGAAATAGAAACATTTCATTACAAAAATATCTTTACTGTCACTTTTGATCAATGTATAAATTGTGGGGGAAAATGTTTCATTTCGTAATGATTACAGACCTGAATTTCCATGTCTAAATTTACCAGACATTTTGATGCAGTTAGTTTATTTGTTATGAGGGAAATGAGTGAAAAGCACTTCAGAACAAATCAAATGGCTGTAATTACACTTGATCACCGTGATTCCATCAAGCTGATCAGATCATCAGCCAATCAGGACACGGCACATTAACACTTGTCAACATTAAGTGGCTTCTGTATCTGGATAACTGATTTCCAGTCTGTAATGGAAAAATGGCCTTGGTGCAAAGTCGGCCTGAAGTGGCAATAAAAACTTTTTTCAGTCGCGGGGCTATGCGTTTCAAATCTCGTAAAACGAGGAGGAGGTTGCAAATAAAAATACATTGCATAGATGCCACGATCGAAATGGCAAAAAGAGACTAAAATTATTGCTAGATGTGGCGGGAAAATTGCACAATCGTTTACAATGAATGGTTGGTTGTGTTACTTTCGGGTGCGAAAGAAAACTTTCTATCTATATACAGTATGCATTCTACACCGCCCTCGATTGTCATGCAAAAACACCCAACTATGTGCAGCGATTTATATGATGTTGTGACATCAACCTGTGAATGCAGATACGATGGCTAGATTGACTTTACATTCCACTGAGATCCGATCACGATGCGTCCGCAACCACCTCTGTACCAGGACACACAGATCAGATAACATTCTGATCACAAACACGTTTACACTTGTCTTTTCAGTGTATGTAGACAGCATCCAGATACAAGTCTACACTCTTAAAAACAAAAGGTTCCAAAGTTTTTTTTTTTTTTTTTTTTTTTGCAGTGATGCAATAGAATCACTTGAAGAATAGAATAGATAGAAGAACCATTTTGTAATCTCCCCAAAGAACCTTTCAGTGAAGAACCATTTTTTCTTAGTGTGAAAAACCTAAAGACCCTTTTTCCAGAATAAAGAACCTTTTGTGCAATGAATCACTGCCATTAAAAAAAAGTGTAAGGCTTTTTAAGAGCGAATCTTTCTTTAAAAGAGAACTAAGGCCTGGTTCCAAAGGCAGGGCGAGATGACACAGGCAAAAATGCTGAGAAAAATACTGCAAAGTACCTGTGCTGTGGGTTGGTGTACTTCAGCAGTTCAGCCAGCTGCAGAGGGTACTTGCAGATCTTCTGAACAGGAGTAAGCAGGAATCCATCCAATGAAATGTCAATCATCTTCTGGAGCAAGCGACAGGCCTCAAAGAAGAACACGTACTTCTTGATCTTCATCAGTTTGGAGAGCTGAACGCAGGCATTGGGGTGGTTGTTGCAATACTCAGAGTAGATCTGGAAGTTTGTTTGCTGGATGGAAACGAGCGAAGAGAGAGCACAATAAAAATGCAAGCGTAAAAACGGTATCCTACATCAACGCCTACATCGAAGTCAGCTTACCTGTTCTAAGAAGCAGGAGCCAATCTCGCTGAGGTGAGGATGGTCTTTGTTAAATTTCTTCTCCAAGGCTTTGACGAATTTCTTCTGGAAGCGGTAGAGCTCATCGATGTTGCCAAAGATAGTGCGCAGTTGCTCCTCGGTAAACATGTCTGTCCTCTTCCGGCACTGTTTTATATAGCCCTGGAAGCCAAGGTAAATATGTCAAGCAATGGTATAGCTGGATTACGGAACAGCTACTCTGATGTGAATCCAGTCGTTCTCTCAGCATGTAAACACAGTGCCAGGCGACTCTATAGACTGTAACAAGATCTACATACTGAGGTAGAACCGATCGATCAGAGTCATGTGGTAAACTGACCTCACAGATGTCTTTCAGGTGTTTGATATAATCCCTCTCTGTGCTCATGATCTCGTTGATGACGTTGGCTCTCATCTGCTCCTTGCAGGGCAGGCCGGGTCCTAAAGGGCCCCCCATGCTGGCTCCACCCCCCTCCGAGGCCCCGTCTAGATGGGCTAAGTATTCCTCCATGGGCTCATCTTGGTTCACCCGTAACTATCAATAACAATGGTTATAGGTTAGTTCACGATGTTGAACTATGACAAAATGTCTGGCATTTTCTGTTAAATGTTGAAAGTGCAGTTCCTTTTATCAATGCCCAAGGCAAAAAGAACAGAGGTGCCTCGAAGACCCCTCAATGTAGCTTAATGTAATAGTGATGTCATAATGTGTGACAGTAATCTAATTTTTTTTATGAGCGGAAAGTCTGCTTTCTTTTACCCGAACAAAGCTGGCGGGGAACCAGCCCTCGCTGTCCAACACCCGGCCCCACCACCACTCCTTGTTTGTGGCGTCCACTACTTCGATGACGTCTCCAGCTTTGAAGCCCAGCTCCTGGTCGTCCATAGTGACATGGTCCCATAGAGCCTCCGCACACACGCTGCCATCACTGATCAGCTATTGACAAACACAAGATGAAGGCAAAACTGAAGGATGAAATATAACTGATCATATTAGAGGAGGAGCTACAGGGATCTTCAACATGTGTGTGGATGAAAATGTCTACTCAAGGTTTCATTTGAGAGGTTTCATTCTCTTAAATTCTTAAGGCCCGTTCACACCAAGAACGATAACTATAAAGATAACCATATTAGCGTCCACACAAGCAGACGATATCGTTCTGTTTACTCTAAGCGCGTGCTTGTCTGTCACTTTAAATGCTCGAGCTCGTTACAGCAGGATGGATTCTGATTGGCTGTCAATGTTTTTTGTTGTTCATCCGCTGGATAAAATTATTCTGAAAGTGATCCCATTGATATTGTTTCTCTGTGCCGTTATCGTTATAGCTGTGGTGTGAACTGCTATTATTTAATATTGAGAATGATTTTTAGAACTATATCTTTACCGTTATCTTTATAGTTATTGTCATTGGTGTGAACAGGCCTTTATACTTGTTTGCTTTTTCTGTTCAATACACAACAACATGCAGTTTGCATTAGGGCTGGGCGATATATTGGATACTCGATATATTGGATGATTTTGCTGGTGTTATAAAAATATGCAACACTGAATAATGAGAGGATTTTAATGCAATTTTTATTTCACGTTTTGTATGAAATGTTTAATAGTCTATAATTAAAATGTTAAAATGTATGTAAGTTTAATCTTTCGTTGCATCATTTCAAAACTAAACAATATACACAATTTTCATACTGAGTTTGTGCATGCAGGTGTAGTTAAATATTACTATTTATTACTTTTATATACTTTTACTTTTATACTTTTATATTATTTTGCAAATAAATAAAATTAATTATTCTTATTAGTGTTGATGTAGTGTTTATTGATTCTCTGTAATTTCTTGTTTTAAGTTTACTTAAATTAAAAGTTGTTATATTATTTGAATGTTCAATCATTTTTTAATACAGTACATGATAAATAAAAACAATCTGATTATTTGCAGTTTAGGCATTGTTTTCAAATATACTGTAATGTCGAATGACTATAATTACTCATTATATCCCCAGAAATAAATTTGCAGATTAATTTGGAGATTCAATGTAAAAATATATTTATCAGTAGTACGCAATATAAATGTTAGGTGTGATTAATCGAGATTAATTAGAGAAACCTGTGTGATTTTTTACTGATTAACATCCCCTATACATACATATACACAATACTCAATACATCTAGCATCTGGTGACAAAAGGTGAATTGTTTTGCCTTGCTATGCCAAAAAAACACCATGCAACAATACATAGCATTCAATTTCACAGTCTGTTCCAGCATCTCAGTGGCATAGTGTGTTATCAAGCAAAGATACACAACCCTTCATTCTGTGCACTTAACCAAAACCAAACTGCAATGTATCATTGGAGGAAGCATTGACAAATTCAGCCTTTTCTGTCTGCTTTTTTCCCTGAGTGGTCATTTTACGTTTCCGCTTTTTGCTGGCAAGGATTGGTTTGGCAAAGAAAACAAAAAGTGTGGTGATGTATTGCCACACTGTTCAGCTTGGCTATAGCGAAAACTAAGTGAAATCCTGGCAAGCTCAACAGCCTCCATTAAACCATTTCTACTGCACAGCTAAACGTGATCTATTGGTGCTGATGTAATCATCACACTTCGTTCTCTGTCCACACAGCGTTGATGGACTCGAAGGCTGAATGGTGAACATACACCCCCTGAATCCAGAGCCCTGCATTCTCATCACAAGATCTGTGCCTATGTACCCTGTTGCCTAGCGACACACCCACATACTTTCCCATGTGCCTCCTCTTCACAGCCTGTGAGTTACCGCTTCTTGGTTTATTTGAAGACACTATCAGGAAAAAGCCCTGGAGCATATTGTGCAAACACATATAACAAAAAGTAATGAAAATATGCTGATCATGAATGAATAAGGTTTTTAACAATTAGCATGTCAGTTATAGTATTTACATGTTTCCACTATCAGAGTAAATACAGAACATTCTTTGCTGACCCAAAACTATGCCAAGTGCATTGGCCAAATGATTTCCTTCTGGATATTATTCCTCACCGAGACGCCATGCTGCACTACTGAGCTATAACCCCAGCATAACCGTGTCAAGCTCATCTGTGTGACCTCTTTCTCTGCAGAGTCCTGCTTGCCAGCAAAAGGATTGTGCAGATCCCTCTGGGACACATAAAAGAACGCCTCGCATGGGCTCAAGGCACAAGCTGACAGTTATACAAGAAAAACAAGCACAGTCATTCAAAGTTTCCCACACATAAACACCCAAACATACTCACAAAAGCTTACAAAACGTCTAAAGAAGCCCTTTAGATGACTTGAAATCAAAGACTGACCCCTACAAGCCACTCAAGAGTGGTTACGGGCTGGTGAATAATTCATGCAGTGCCATCTCAGCACATTAGTTCTGGTTGAATGCCGCCAACCACACACCCATTCTGGTTACCTGCACTGTGATGTCTGCATCCCGAAAACCCATCCACGAGTGAGCGAGAGGGACCAACTTTCCCTCCCCCTCCTCCTCCTCCTCACCGTCGTCTTCCTCTCCACCCCTCCCCTCGCTCTTTCTCCTCACTGCGGCTGCGCTCTACTGGAAGGCCAGCAGGAACATCAGCACTACGTTGATGATGACCAGCAACATCATGATGACGAACACCACCACCTTCTGGGCCTCCGGGCTGAGGTTGCAGCGCAACAGGAAGTGACTCAGGCCCTGCCGAGACGCCGTTCGCTGGCCTCCGCGAGCCATGGCGCCGGAAGCCCCCTCGCCTAGAGGTCTTGCCGCGAATGCTCGACGGCACACAGTGTGTCGGCCGGATCCGCTCTGTGTTCTCTGTGAAGCGTGAGGGGGAGGGGGAAGAGCCTCCACGTCCACAGTTACCTGCTCACTTCCTTTCCGTTCCCTTCTCGCTCTTTCTCTCTTTCTCTCGCGTGCGCGCAATCTTCCTCCTCCTCCTCCTCGTCCGTCGCTCCCCTCAATCTTTTCCCCGCGCGCTGCTGATGTCAGGAGCAGGGGTGGATGCGTCTCTCCGCCTCCATGTATTCTTCTTCTCCGTCTATGCTTTTTTCTGTCCCTTCCTGTCTGTTTTTCTCCTTCTGTCCTCCTTCCGCTGCCTCCCCCTCGCTCTCGTCCTCCTGCTCTGCTTGAACACACGGCCGTTTTAATTCCCTTGGATCTGATTAAAACACTTGGAATCCTTTCTCATTTCACCGTCTCTTTTGCAAAAAGCAAACCTGAGGGGTGGAAATGGTTGCTGCATCTGTGCTTAGCGGCACTAGCAAAAACCATGCATCCATCTCCCCGAATTGACTTCTGTTTTTGCTCCGGATTTTTTTCCTCTTATCCTTCCCAGCCAATCGGCTGGCGGTGCTGTGAAGCGTATCCAGGATACCAGAGTAGTGGAGGCCGGATTTAGTGGCAGCAGGAGGGAGGCAACGGTGGGGGGAGGGATGCGAGAGAATGCAGCACAATACATCCTTTCTATCCTGGCGTGTCTCCATTGGCCGAGCCGACTGCCAGTCAGTTGCACTTCCCGTCTAAAAGCAAGCACGTCCTGTTCGTCTTCTCAAGGCAGTGCTAGTGCTGCTGAAGATATTAATTAAAGGCTGCATGAGGTGCCAGACACCTCTTGAGCTTTCATTTCCTGACCCGGGCCGGTGTCGGCGAGGTAGGATTAACGCAGTAATTCCCACTCGTCTCGTTCCCGTGCATCAATGTGTGCACAACTAATGGGATTAGTAAAGGACTCTGATTCCATCAGCCTTCTGTTCTCTCGCTCTCTCTCTCTCTCTCTCTCTCTCTCTCTCTCTCTCTCTCTCTCGGCCGCAGAGCCTCATCCCCACTGTCACAGTGTCTTCCTTTCAAATCAGCAGCTGTCTTTCTGACACATGCACAAGCAAAACAATCACTCACTCTCTCCAACACTGAAACTAAATATTCTCCCCAACACACTGGTAATGAACACTAAAACTATATTTTAACTTTTAGAAAAAAAAAAGAGAGTTGTGCTTGTCTATGTAAAAGAATTTCTAGCTTGTTGCTAGATCACTGTGGTTGGTTGACAGGTTGCTGCTATGCAGTAGCTAAGGTGTTCTTAATGGTCTTTGGGTAGTTGCACTGCAAAACAGCTAACAATCAGTATTTTTGTCTGGTTTTCTAGTAAAACTATTTCCAAATGTCCTTGAAATAATAAAAAGTACATTAGAAGTGCAAAATAAGACAAAAAATTAAGTTCATTTCTTCAGGGGCAAGCAAATACATTTCCAATCTTACAGTAGCCTACATTTAGGCTAAATGCAAATGTGGATGGACTAGCCTGCTAGAGACCGAAACTATATTTTGTATCCATCATTTAAAATTGCATTTTAAAATACACTGATCAGCCACAACATTAAAACCACCTGCATAGGCAAAACCTTCAACTCTTGGTCATGAACTATTCCTGAACAATTTTTTGTTGTTGTTTTGTTTTGAACATTGTAAAGTATGTTCATTTCTGTTCATTGTATGTTCATGTGTTCATTGTATACACGTATTGTAGACAACAAATAAAGAGTTTCTTTAAATGTGACGTATTGGTAGAAAAAATTTACCAATTGTATTTTTGAAATATGTTGAATATACAGTATATATATATAGCCAAACGTTTTGGGACATCAACTTTAATGACATCCCATTCTTAATCCGTAGAGTTCAATATGGAGTTGGCCCACCCTTTGCAGCTATGTCAGCTTCAACTCTTCTGGGAAGGCTTTCCACAAGGTTTAGGAGTGTGTTTATGGGATTTTTTGACTATTCTTCTAGAAGCGCATTTGTGAGGTCAGGCACTGATGTTGGACAAGAAGCTCTAGTCTCCGCTCTAATTCATCCCAAAGGTGTTCTATCGGGTTGAGGTCAGGACTCTGTGCAGGCCAGTCAGGTTCCTCCACACCAAACTCGCTCATCCATGTCTTTATGGACCTTGCTTTGCGCACTGGTGCACAGTCATGTTGGAAAAGGAAGGGGCCATCCCTAAACTGTTCCAACAAAGTTGGGAGCATGAAATTGTCCGAAATGTCTTGGTATGGTGAAGCATTAAGAGTTCCTTTCACTAGAACTAAGGGGCCAAGCCCAACCCCTGAAAAACAACCCCACACCATCAAACTTTACACTTGGCACAATGCAGTCAGGCAAGTACCGTTCTCCTAGCAACCACCAAACCCAGACTCGTCCATCGGATTGCCAGACAGAGAAGCATGATTCGTCCCTCCAGAGAACACGTCTCCACTGCTCTAGAGTCCAGTGGCGGCGTGCTTTACACCACTGCATCCGACGGTTTACATTGCACTTGTTGATGTAAGGCTTGGATGCAGGTGCTTGGCCATGGAAACCCATTCCATGAAGCTCTCTAAGCACTGTTCTTGAGCTAATCTGAAGGCCACACGAAGTTTGGAGGTCTGTAGCTATTGACTCTGCAGAAAGTTGGCAACTTCTGAGCTCCTGAGAGCGACCCATTCTTTCACAAATGTTTGTAGAAGCAGTCTGCATATCTAGGTGCTTGATTTTATACAACTCGGGCCATGGAAGTGATAGGAACACCTGAGTTCAATGATTTGGAGGGGTGTCCCAATACTTTTGGCAATATATTATATACAGTATACAGTATATATATTTTTAAAAAAATTGCAGTATGGGCTGCCTTAGCTCCGCAGTAAAACAATGACACTTTAAGTTTGCCTGTTTACTCTTTACTGGGTTCTTTACCAGGACAGAAGTGCTAAAAAACAATAACAACAGCATCAGCACAGGGCTTCTGTGCAGCTCAGTGCACATCAAGCTCCCAGAGGCCTGGACGTTGATTAGATTTTTCTGCTGTTTCTAACTAAAATGCTGCATGGAGTTACTGAGCGGCTTTCTATAATTATACCAAACAGTCATATATCAAACTCTGGCACTCTGCATATTCTCTGAAATTCTTTGTAGATAACAGCACGAATTCACCCTCATTCATGCTGAAGATGATGGGAGAAGGAGAGTGGCAGCAGGTCATACTGCTGGTCTCAGGCCTCAGGAGAGAGACAGATGGGTAGTAGACTATTAAATTACAGTGACTGAATTTCAACATGTATAAACACTAAATAAAGAGCACATCCCAAACTAAAGTGGAGCCTTGGAAGCGTGTCTGAAACCAGTTATCTTCATACAAAAACACGTTCTGTTTTGGCTCTGTAAGTCCTTGGGTTTCAAACGCAACCTACCGGCTTGGGCTGCACGATTGGGGGAAAATGTCATATTGCGATTATTGAGGTCAAAATTGCGATTGCGATATGCAATTGCGATATAATAAACAAATGGTTTCATGAGGGAACTTGCTTGGTTCTCACGGAAAATGCACACACAGATTAGTGATAATGCTGAAATGTGTATTTCTCAACTCAAACTAGCAACAACAACTAAATGAATAATGACACCTATAATGATCAATAAGCCATTGATGTCAGGACAAAAATGTCTGGACATTCCTGTCTAACAGGTAGGACATATACAGACATTGAATTACGTTCAACAGTCTGCGCTGCAAACATTATAAATAATATAATAATCCTTATTAAAGTTACATAAGTTCTTTAGTCAAGAGCAGTGAGTGTTTTTCTCTGTTCCCTTTGTTCTTTGATTAACTTTAATGACACAGATAATTAGTGGCTACTGGGTACTGTCCCTTTAAGACCAGCCGCTGCTGACAGAGACGTGGCGGATTTCACACGCGCCTCATTCTCTCACGGGATCATGTAACACTAGCCAAAGGATGACAAAAATTAACAGATAATGCGTTAATTGCGTTAACAGACCTAATTTGTTTATTTCAAATAAAATCGCAGCATTTTGCATCATATAACCGCATAGGCTTGACATCGCGATTGCGATATGATTAATCGTGCAGCACTACTACCGTACCGGCCCTTTAAAGGTTGGAAGGAATATGCTTCTATGAGTAAAATTTGGGAAAGTGAATGCCCTGCCATTGACAGAGAAACAGAACCATGATCTGTGAACACAGACACAAAGTAACACAGACCACCTGTATGTTGTACCTCATTTATGGCCAGCTGCTCTCCTCCTCCTCCTGGGTGTCCAAATCGGTTGGAGGAGCTGCGAAACTCATTGTACAGGTCATCTTCACTCCCCACCTCATCCGCAAGGCCAGACTTATCCTGCGATCCATCGGTTATCACCAACGCTGGAAAGCAAAGCACAAATCTGTTTCAATTCAGCAACATTTGAGGTCTCGCGACTCAAACACTGATTAAACTTAATCTTGGGATAATATTGTGTTTGTTAATATGACAATGAGTGTATTTAAATGAAAATATACAAAAACGCTTAGACATAATTAGTTCTGTTCACAATAAAAAAAAATCGGGCAATAAGTCATTTTTGATTATATTGTAATGGGCAATATGACAGTGGTCTTGGACTTAATTAATGACCCATGATTGAACAACCAAAAATCTTAAAACAGTATTTTAATGCACAAGAATATGATATGTGATCTCAAAATGGTGCCTCCTCTGAGTATGTGGCCCACTCTGTGGAATAAAATGGCTTTTTCTAGGCCAGAGGGTTTTCAAACGGGTGTCAAGAGACTTGAAGGAAGCCACAAGGGGGTGCTAGAGAGGTCCATGAAAAAAAAAAAATCAAAAAGGATAACATACAGAATTTTTCATTTAGCTTTTTACAAAACTATAAAATGTTTAACAAACAACAAATAAATAAATTAAATGTATTCTTCAAAAAGGGCAATATTACAGAATCCGTTCTTCTAAAAGCTGGTTTAACTATTTAATTGCAATTATTTAATTTCCATTAACAATGTGTCTTTATAATCCCACACATATAAAAGCTTTGGTAACACTTTAGTTTAGGGTCCAATTCTCACTATTAACTATTTGCTTAAAAGCATGCATATTACTAGGATATTGGCTGTTTGTTAGTACATATTAATGCCTTATTCTGCATGACCATAGTCTACATCCTTTAATCCTACTACCCAATACCTAAACATATCATCTACCTTACTAACTATTAAAATAGGAATTTTTAAGTCATAGTTAATAGTGAGAATTAGACCCTAATCTAAAGTGTGACCAAAGCATTTTAGTAAAAGAGCCCCTCCTAAGGCTATCATCATATCTGGGGGGTCTTTAGCATCAAGCACAATAAAAAAAACCTGTTCTAGGACCCTGATATAAATATAAATTTTAAACATTTGTCAGATATAGCCATTACTTCAATAGCAAAGTTATATTTTGTTATTAGAATGCAGAAGTATATTTTAGATTTAGCATCTAACAGTTAAGATATGAGATTTAAATGTTAACCACAGGGAGCCTGAGGTTACACAACCGTTTTCCCAGCCAGGAAATTTAATGACCTCCACTTGCATGGTCACACTAGATAAAAGGATTAATCCACTAATTAGCAGTTGGAATATTTGATTAGCTGCATCTCATTAACAGCTGGCTAGAACATACTGAGAGAATGTGGTTCACACACCACACTGATCAAGCTTGAAACAGCCAAACCTGTGGCATGCATTGCACATTAGGGGGACATTCACACAGAATGCATTTTTGCATTCCACTGCGCTGTTTTCCGTTGCTTTCCTATGTACCGTAAGCATACGATAGAGGATAGACAGACATATCCGACAGTTCCGCACGTCATGTGTTTTTCAGTTCTAAAAAAACAAATGCGAATTATGTGCGTTTTCATCAAGTTGTTCGAGCGGATGACAGTGGTATTGGTAACCTAGTAGTAGGCTAACCAACAGTAAATAAAACAGAACAGCGGAAACAGACGATTAGTCAAGTGGGTTTAATATTCGCTACGTCAGAATTTATTCGGCTGATGCGTTTCCATCTCCCATTATTCGCATTGACTCTTTTTCGCATTGACTCTTTTTCGCAAGTCAAAAACCACCTCAAGCGAGCGTAAAAACTTTTTTGCGAATGAAGGGAATTTATCACTCCATCACTCGTTTCTGATGCGATTCTTCAAAATGCACATAAAAAAGAATGATGGAAACATAGCTAATGTCAAAGGAAAAACAATAATGAAGAGCAACAGAAAAGACTCTGTCATAAAAAAGTGACCAAAGCACTCGTCATTATAACTGAAATCATGTCTAAGCTTTCTAACCAACCCAATGGTTTCCAGATTGTTAGCAGACACTTAAGGGAACCATAACAACAAGCTTGCAGCTAAATTTCACTTTTAATGCTCCAGTAAAACTGTTGAGATGCTTATTGAATCCACAGTGGTGCATTAATGTGCCCCCGTTCATGCATTTGGTGTTTTTAAAGCACTGGAAACACTGCTGCCAGAGCTGGCTGGTTTCTCCACAGACAGGACTGCTATTATTTATTACTGTGCAGTAAACCAGTGAGGAAGAGAGGACCTGGCCGCCACAAGAAGCTCTCTTCCTGTCTCATTCATAATGAATGGATGGGAAGGGAATGGAGTTAGACTTAAATTTACACCTCTGGAAAGATCCACTGTTCTGGCGATGCATGAGGGCACTGTCCATGAAATCGAGGTAAATGACAATACTGCTTTAAATCGTAAAGATGTAACTGAGAATGTAATCTGTATCGAAACTCTGGCGAAAGTGGCTTCACGTCAAAATTCAGCTGCTGAAATGGATCCTTGGGGGAATATGTCCCTAAAGCACAGAAGATTTGCTGTCATTTACAAGAAAAGCTGTACGTGTGAAAATGAATGTGGTAATCCTGTCATGCTCTTCTATGTAGGTTAATTGTTGAGCCAGTGGATTGATTAGGGAGACGGACAAGCGAATGAAATCGTCCTGATTTGTTTATCGGCCGTTAAGTGTGGCTCAAAGCATACGAGACAGCACATGTCAGCAGAGTTCAGCATTTCCAGGGACACATGGGCTGATGAGATCAAATATAGTTCACTCAGAGCCCAAAGTCAGACAGTCACCGTGGGGTAACCCAAACAACCCTGTCTAGGACAGCCCCGTAACTGAGTTCATGTGCAACAGGGCTGTTTTCTTTTAAGCAGGACATGGTTTGGGGTTTCTTTTTGAGGTTTTTTTGTGGCACAGATCTGAAGGAGATCTGGCGTACTGCATTAACAGGAGACTTTCTTAATACAATATGATCCCAATACTTGATATGCCATCACAGCTATGATTAATAGAAGTTGAAAGCATTATTTGTATAAATGTATTGCATTTTGCAATGGGGACAACACTAAAATATTCACTGGATATTTTAATTGTCCCCAATGCAAAATGCAATACATTTACTTTCCTCACATCTTACTTTCATCTTTTACTTACATCTTACTTTCATCTCGCTTGGATTTGTTATCCTTCCTAAAAAAGTCCTAAAATTATATGTAGGCCTATATATTATTTTTATCCACCTTGAAATTACTAGATTTTATCAATAAATAATATAATTCAAGCAGTGTTGTGTGTAACGCGTTACAAAGTAACGCGTTACAGTAACGTAACTACTTTTTCGGGTAAAAAGTAGTGTAACGCGCTACTACTGAAAATTTGGTAACGAAACGTAGTTCCTTTTTCAATTCGGCGCAACGTTACTTTCGATCTCCGTCATTTGATAGATTTGACCGCGATCGCCATCTCCGTAGTGAACCCCCCAGAGAGAAATGCACATAATGGATTACATAATCAGAGAGTAGCCTATTTCTTTTCGTTTTGAATTGTTTCGTTTAAAGACATTTCAAGCTTAAATTCTATACGTTGAGTTTCGGTTAATTTATGATGAGATGCTCCAGTTCACGTGCAATGCAAGTGACCACGCCGGCGCTTCCATGATTATATTGTCTCCTATATTTGCTTCTTACTTGCAGGCATTTGGTTGATAATAAATTGATTCAAATTAAGATACAATTTATACAAAACGAAATTCGCTTTAAAGAAAGGCTTTCTTCAAAACAAAACTTAATGAAGTGGTCAAAATCATGTCTGATTGACTCAATGTCTCCCGATATATTGCGCATCCATCTTACTCGCGCTGTTCACTTTTCATAATCAGCATAGATGGAAAAAAATGACATTATACTATTTTAACAAATATGAAACTAAATGCGCTTATTTAATGGCTACAACACGTAGGCTAGTAGGCCTACAGACTCTCTATTTGTATATTGCTGCACATTCATTTAATTCTGAATTTTGCACACATAAGTTGAAAGGCATTTGTTTACGTGCATAGTAAAACATATCTGCAACATTTATCAAGTTCACGGATAATTGTGCGTGCATTTATTAATCATTATGATACTAAAATCATAATAAAGTCTATACTATGTATGTACAAAAAAATCAGATGAGCCCAGAATATGAACGCAACGTGTTTACTCACACGTTAAGCATTTTCCTCCCATAGAAAACCATTATAAGAACGCTTAATTTGGCTTAATGCAGATTAGAATGTCCCCTTATTATGTCTAAATAACAAGATAAGTTTTCTTTTTTTTTTTCTTCACCATACGGTTCAGGACTTCCATAGAATACAGCCTGAATATAATTACTTCCAGAAATGATTTTTGGGGGTGCTAACGTGGTGCTTTGGTCTTTCTTGGGGGCTTTCTTTCTAGCCCCTCCCTAGCGCCGCCCATGCATATGCCTATCCATTAACCGGCATTTCTTCATAAATATTAAAATTTTTGATAAATCCATTATGCATTTATGGCATTATATATGGCATTATGCATAGTAGAACTTTATGTAGGCCTATACATTTAGGAACAGATATTGGGTTCTGCCCAAAGTCAAGCAACATAAAAGTAACGTAAAAGTAACGAGTAACGTAAAAAGTTACTTTCTATATGGGGTAACTAAGTAAAGTAACGGATTACTTTTTTAAAGAAGTAACGAGTAACGGGTTACACTACTTTTTAAAAGTAACTTCCCCAACACTGAATTCAAGCATGTTCTTCACATTCTTTCAACTTAAATTCAGAATAACTACAATACCTGTAATAACCAGCTCAAATCTGAAAAAAAAAAACATTATATTGCATGACTCTTGCCACTAGATGGTCTTATAGCTCTATATGGAGCAAATGAGCTGTTTCGCTGGGTCCTAAAGACATTATATATTTTAGGTAAAGTTTTAACATTTTTTATTTTAATTTTGAGGATTTTTTGGGGGTTTTCTATGTATACTGAAGTATTCCTTG